ATTTTACAAATGCGTACGACTGCTGAAAGCAAGCATGACAAGGACAACCACGCACCCTTCATGCAGGTTGATCTACCAGGAAAATTCAAGCCAAGCCTTAAGAGACAGAATCAGCAGTATTGTACGGGATTGTGAGCTCAGTGTACCACGAGAATAGCTACCTGGAGTCCAAAGTAGATTTTAGAATGGTCCAAAACTCCAAAACCCTTTAAGACAATCCAAAAGGCCATCATTCTAAATACTTTGGGGGTCCAGGTATGTCCAGGTACTAATGGGAATACGGGAATAAGAAGAGCAGCGATCATTGAGCCTCGGCGGGCTGCGGCGGCTTCTACCACCACGCCCTCCGCGACTTCGATCCTGCCAGCTTGCTGTTGTAGGCTTAGGCTACAATAGGATGGCTAGGAAATAGTGGTCCCTTTTTTGGTCCCGAGTATACTGCGGAAATGGCCGATGCTTTTGACAATCCCAATGTAGCGTCCAGGCTTGGAAAATGATTTGCAACCGCGAAAGCACCAAAGCTGCCAGGAGGCCCCAGATAAACCTTCCTGCCAAATTTTACCATTTTGGGGGCTCACAACCCCTTAGTACACATCAGCAAAGCTGGGCTCAAACGAAAGCTCGGTGAAGCTTTCGTAACTTCCTTGCTAGCAACATCTTCTTGACTATGGCGAAGCATGGGAAACTGATGCTACGCTCAGCAGAGGAGTCAAGCAAACTGCGCACTAAGCCCACTAAGCTGCTACCAGTACTCCACTAAGCTGCAACATTTGTGGGCGAGATCACCCCAAAACTGCAGTTCTGGACACCATCCGGTCCCGCTGGCGGCTTCGCGAGCGAGACTTTGACTTCGAGGGTGACGGCCGTCCTCGGACCGTGAGAGCTCTTGCTGTGCTGCATGTGCGTGAGGGGCAGAGGGCTATTTCGGCCCGCAACCCTTGCATGTGTGTGAACGCGCTGTGTCAGTAAGCTGTGGCTTACCATGATGCCAGTCCTCTCTTGATTGGAAGTGCTAAATCGAAAACATGTCGAAATTGCTGTCAGCTATTGCTGAGCTTTATAATGCAGGGATGAGCAATGCCTTACGTCCTTCTGTGTCAGCAAACTGAAGCTGAACTGGAGACAGGTTGTTGCTATTGCTGCTTCAAACGAATGCAGTTGTGCAAGATGTGACCGAATGCCAGCGCCCGTTGCTTTGATTTCCTTGCTGTGTCTGCAGCCGCTGGCGCGAAATCGGGGCGGAGCTGCAATAGAATTCCCCACTAACACACTGGATGGCCGCAAGTCGAACCAATCCCACAGCCACAAACGCAAGCACCAAAGCTTGAACACGAAACACTAAAACACGACCCCGAAAAACCTGAACCAAGAAGTCTTACAAGTTTTGCTCGTGCAAAATCGGCAGAGGGCCCAGTCTGAGGTATGGACGCTCCTTCTTGGGCTTCTTAGACGTCCAGTCCCAGCCTGAAATCCCCAACAACCATCCAGGGTTTGGGTTTGGGCTCTAGGATTCACAGCCAGAGTCAGAAACAGCTGAACCCTGCCTGAACCACTTGCGACTAAAAGCTGTCTATGTCAGTGTGTGCGTGCTCGCCCGTAGCATGCGATAGGTAACCTCCCTTGCTCCCCTGCAGGGCGCCTTTGGCCCCGCTATCGTTGGAAAAGCCTCGGAATGGGACACTTCACCCCTCAGGTGGCTTGAAACTCAGAACCTGACTCTCTAATGACTTGCAACTGAAATCAGGGCATAAATGATTGTGGTGGCATGTGGTGGCTTTCTGCCCTGATTGTGCTTCCAATGCCCAACTGCAGACCGGGAGCCGGCTAGGGAAGGACTGACACCCTGCTGTGCCCGGTTGGAGGCGGGCGTGAAGCCCGGCAGCCCAGGCACGCCGGGAATGGATGCAGCCTGTCCCTTGGGAGGGACATCACATAGTGATTAAAGTATGTGCTCACCAGCCTTGAAGTTTGTGTGTGTGCAATTACGTCCACCAGTTTCTAGCCATCTGCAGGGCGAATGGAAAATGGAGGGTGCGACCCACTTGCGTCAGGTTGAGTCTAAGTGTAGGATTTGGCGGTCTTGATGCTGATAAGCTTAAGCTTTCATGTATTGAAGTTGTCATTCTTTCAACAATCTATGACCTATGAACTGCCGGTCTTGCACTTGCATCGTGCCAAGATCTACTCACATGTGGAAAGGACTTCCCACCTGCGGAAGGCTGGGCGGTGCGGGCTTCGGCCTGGCAGCAACATCACAAAATCATTCATTAAGCCTGGCCTACCGCTTGGGATCCAGCCCATTTCAAGCTGCGACAAACACATGTTCCAAAGCCAGCCAAAGTTCACGTGGCTGCATCCTGCCCGGGAAATCGCGCTAAGTGCCAAGGTCCGGGCGTTGATGCCGCAGGCGGTGCAGGTGGTGTCGGCGGAGGTGGTGGCGGAGGCGGCGGCCTTCCCGCACAGCCGCCGCTGTACCCACAGCCGCTGCACCCACCGCCACTGCTGCTGCTGCTGCAGCCACAGGCACCGGCACAGCCGCAGCTGCCACTGCAACCACATCCACGAGTGTAGCCGCAGCCACCTGCGCAGCCACAGCCTGAAGTGCATCCTCCGCCGCTGCAGCCGCAACCGCTTCCGCAGCCACCGCCGTAGCCTCTGCAGCCGCAGCCACCACAACCGCCGCAGCCACAGCCGCCACAACCGCAGCCACAGCCGCCACTGGGGCAACCTCCACAACCTCCGCAGCCGCAACCGCTGAGGCTGCTGTTGCAGCCGCCACAGCCGCCAGCGCCACAACTTCCGCAGGCTCCGCAGCTGCAGCCAGCGCCAAGGCCACCACAGCTACCACACCCTCAGAAGCAGCGACAATCAATGTGAGCGTGAGCTGAAGCCAATACTTCTTGTATAGTGGGCATAGGCTCACATCAAGAATTTAAAGTATAGAGTATGCTAGGGCGTATGTCATCCTGAGCAGTCCCTCGGTAACCCTGATGTTTGCAGTACCGCCAAGGAGGGTCATCTTGTGGGCCTCCACCCTGCAGTTGCTGCAGTTGTTGTAACCTGGATCGGGCACAGGAGCACGATCCTAATCATCCCAAACACAAATACACAATGCCACACAGAATTGTCTAGGCCAATAGTTTGTTGAATCCTGCATGCAGTTCAGACATAGCCATGCGGTGGACGCTCTGAACATGCAGGGACCACACTGCAAGAGAGGAGGTGTCCTTGAAATTAGGGGAAGCTAGACCAATGGACCAAGGGTCCCCAAAAAGATTTGAAGTTGGACTTGGCATAAGTGAGCGGGCAGCTGCACATATCTTGTCTTGCTATGCACTAATGGCTGAGATCTCTAAAAATCCTCGAAGCTCTGCACGTTTCTGACAAAACATCTGGGAACTGCACACGTTGTGGTCGCCAAGGCTAGAGGTAGCGCTGCCTGCAATGTGAACAGGCCGTCAGCTGACTCTCATCAGAATCACACGTTGTGCTCAAAGCGGCTTGATCCCATTTGTTCCAAGGCAACCTTCCATCTGTGCCTTGGCAGCCGCAACCTCCACCCTGGGCGAAGGATGCATGTGTGGGAGGCTATGAACAAACTATAAGTTTAACCTCTTGCCTTTCCATTCTTCGACCTTCTAGGCTCATTCATAGCTTTTCTCTCTAGCGTTCTCAGCGCCAGTGGCGCAGCAAGTTTGGTGTGTTTAGGAGGCCGTGCTTCAGGATGGTGAATTGCGACCTCTGCCCTCTGAGCTGCCTCTCGACGAATCCCAAGGTCCCTGGATTGGATCACCTGCATCTCTCACACCTTGAGACCTCAACTGCATCAACATTGAGCCCGAACACGGCTTCTTTTTTTGGGATTCCTCTACAGCATGGATGCTTTTGTGATTGTGCTGTGTATGTACTCTGTGGGGGGGGGGGTCCTATTTTCGCGAACTGTCCGAAGTCTCTGAGTATTCTTCGCTGAACGAACTTCCAGCCTGCAAGCCGCAGCCACCGCTGGGCCAGCTACCTTCCATGGCCTGCTTCTAGGTCTTTGTGTGAGGCTTAATACTCACTGGGGTTTAGTAGGGAATAAACGCGTAACTATTTTTATATATGTGTGTGTGTGCAAAGGTACACAGGGTTTTCTTTGGGAGTATACTCCCTTATTCCCTGCTAACCCCAAGTAAATTATGTAAGTTTACGTGCAGAGGTCCATTTGGACACGTTGAAGAGTTGTCAGTATGGAATATCGGCAGGCCCTCCGCAGCATCACTTGACTTCCTACACATGCACAGCTGTAGATTGTGGAATCCACTTGGTTCAGTGCGGTTTGCTGGAAGTAAGCACAGTCGGACTCGTCGTTTTACATCGCAGCGAAATCAAAGCCAAAGCGAGACTTTGTCGCCACTGCTTGGGCAGATTGCAGATGCCAAGCATTGCAAGAGAATGGGCCTGGAGCCTTTGTCATCAAACCTCGAATGATCCCCGAAACTGGGAATCTGCTTGGGGTGTATGACACCCTCATGACAGGACAAGCGTGCTCAACAAAACCTCGAGTCGAGTCACAACATCGGAATACAGCAGCACTGCAGTCACCTCCAAGTCTCTGGCTGGTCGTAGGGAGAAACGACGCAAGCGCTTTTGCAAAGTTGACTCGCGGCTCCCTTTAAAACCCCGACAAACAAGTTTGCCAACATGATCGAGCCTCGCAGTCAGCTTGCAGCAGTATATATCATAAGTGCATTTAGTCAGCAGGTGAAAAGCATAGCTGATGGAGACTGTCCCAAATGTCTACCTTCTGAAGCTGTATTGTTTTGTGAATTATTCTATTTGGGTTGGCTCCATCCCGACTGTGAGCCCGTGAGGTTGTAACCCTGACGATCATTTCGTTGACAGCGCAGCGCGCGCAGGACCGCCGAGCAAGCTGTAGCTTTCAGGGCGGTAGACATAAACTTAGTGCAAAATGCTCTGCAACTAAGGCCCTGATATGTTGCTATGCATTCTCCGCAATCTTACTCGAGGTGGCAAGGTGCCGACAAAGTCTTGCCGCTCACACGATCCTCCAAGCCTTGTCGCAGCTGGCAGCGCAGGTATCCAACAAAGGCAGTCCACTTGCAGTATTCCATGGAGTGCAGAGTACAACCTCTGGTGGTCTTGCTCGATTGCAGCGGTAAGTGCAAGAAGGTTTCGGCAAAACACGGTTACAGCTGAGAACGCCGCCCTCGCCGGCATAAGACAGTAGCGGGGAGACCTGGTGCGAACATCAATAAAACTGAGAAAGACGTTTTGAACCCCGAGGCAGGGTTGATGGCTTCTGGGATTCCAGGCCTGGTCAGCTGCGGGGGAATTGTGCTGTGGAAAGAACATGAGCTGGAAACAACACCAGCAATATATCAGAAGGACAGGAATGCAATATAACTGTGACTTGGAGTTCCTCACCATGAAGGTCTCCCCCTCACAGGACCCCCAGAAATTTGAAGATCTCCCTTCATAAATGGGGGTCGTAAATTGTTCAAAAGAGCTGCATCTTTGTTGTTGGGTCACGTGGCCTCGAGCACGTCATCCTTGGCTCCTTCCAGCTTTCCGCCAGCCTGGTGCGTTCTTGAACCAATTGCTCCTACAGGTCCTCGCTTCTTTCTGCTGAGAGCGCAGAAGTCTGACCGTGTTGTGAACGCCCTGCCAATCATAACTCTGTGTCTGGTAGCTTGCCTGCTCGACCCAGCTGCGGCACAGTGCATTTACCATTGCCCTGGCGCTGTCAGGACCTGGGCCGGGAATGCCAAGTGAAAGACAGCTACTTGGCACTGAGCACATGCTTGTGCAGCATCATATCTTTTGTTCTTGCAGCTGGTGTAATACACAATGGCCAATCTGACCTTGGGAACAATGTCACCATGGATCTGCCCTAAGTTCTCCAGTTGTTTGGCGCGCCCATCCCGGGCTTACCCTGGTACTGTCTGGGACCCAAGCTGTCTGTGGCTGTGCCAGGAGCATTTTTGACTGGGGCGAACTCCTCCTCTCTCCTCGTCTCCAGGATAGCCTCACGCGGTCGGGGCTTCGGGTGTGATACGTATCATAAGCAGCCTCTGCTGTTTGAAGCCGTCGCACGTCAAACGCTATCGGTACTCTGCATACGAATCAACATGTTCTCGCATGCATGCTGCAGGGTTCGTAGTCACAATCTGTGAAGATCCCCTGGTCTCCCAGGCACCCCTGTCTGGTACCCTGTCCAGCCTATCTGCTTGCAAAATATGCACCAGCATATTTATGACTCTATTTGCACTATATATAGCCGTATCAGGCTCCCATGCGCATAATCCATGAGGCTAAGATCCAGACCATGTTGCTGCTCATGGGAAAGACATCGAAAACAAAGGCCTCCAGTTTGACGCCTTGCCGGTCGTTGTGTTCTAGAAACATTCCTATCCGAAAGTGAGGTCCATCAAACATGTTCAATACTTATGCTGTGCCGTATGCATATAGGCTTGGTTATTTTGAAGCTGGTCTTTGGGTCAGCTGGCTTCTGGATGTACAATCATGAGAGGCGGAGAATAGCTGGCATCCCTCGCCCTTTGACCAAAGCCAAAACTGTCTTTCGATGCTGCAGCTCTAGACTCATCCAAAAACATACGTGCTGTGGTGCAAGCAGTAAAGCTCACAAGGGCCACAAACAATGTGGCATAGCTGAGGACGTGGCCGTTGTTGCTGTCAGGCTTTACAGTCTTGCCATCTTCCCCCGCGCAGGGGATCCTCACGTGTGGCCAGTAGGCTTCCCTCATGTTTGCAGAGCTACATGCAGTCTCCATCATATCTAACTATCCAATCGGTTGAACGAGCTTAGGAAGCCACCTGCAGCCAACATTTGAGTTTCAAGAAGGTCCACCTCGTCTCGCATGGATCAAGCCCTTAAGTCCCAGGGACTTCTTGTGAGCCAGGTGGAACATGGCAGCCATGTTGGGCACCACAACCTCGGCGAATATATTCATCCGGTCTTCTGTGGTCTTCAGCTTAATGTCATGTCTTCGTAGAACCGAATACAAACCTGACATGCTGAGGACCCCTCCATACCCCATCAACAGAAACTCTAATGAAACAGACCACCCGACTCTACAACAAATATGTGTGCAGGTCCTATAATGGGTATGTACCTCCATAACCGCCAAATTGTGAGAAGCCCTGAAGAATCCTCACATATGGAAAGGAACGCGCACTTATGGACAGCAGTGTACCCAAATGAACTGCATCGGGGTGCACAGAGCATCCGGGTGCACAGAGATGCATGAGCTGCTGGCATTTGCGAGAAACTCAACGGAGAAGAAGTGATTGCAAATATTTCCAGCCTCAACATGCTCGTAGCAGCGTGACTGCCATTGCCAGTCTGACTACTGCATGCCCTATGTCTAACTCGTCAAGACATCCTGGCAAGTCTGCTGCAGTAAGGAGAAGACGCCGAAAACTAATCGACCGCTTTCATCGCACTGCTTCTTGCGAGCATCGTCCAGCTCACCTGCAGTGGCCAGCGGCCGGCAACTCAGCAAACCCTGGATCTGATTGTGCACCCTTACGGTCATTGTTGATGCGTTGCCTAAAGCAATGCAACCCCGTCAGAATGCAACGCCCCACCCAAACCGAAGCCCGTCCTCATTAAGAATGGAACGCGTGCAGCTGATCTTCATATGCCTTCTGTTCAGGATTCATAATTCGAAGGACATGGAAGCTACTGTTACCAGCTTGTGCAGTAGCATCACCTTTTTCATTCATGGTGCAGATGGGAACTACCACGGAACGTATTGTAGCTTCTATGCCTTCCTGTCAAATACAGAAAGGAAAAGCAAAGGACACATTGCACAGTAGCTCAATGCGTTGAATTGTTGATATGCTCAAGGGCTGAGGAGCTCGGTCTACAGAACAAATTTCTCCAGAGGCAAATGGTAGAGGCGACGAATCGTCAGGATGGTGGAATGATTCTTGAGGCCCTTCGAAGCTCAGAGTAAGCCTCCATGTCAAGGTGATGGAGGCCGTTGCTTTTTGAAGTCCTGCCACTGAAAATCTACAATACCCCAAGACTAGCCAGCAGCGCTGTATTCCATCACGCTGGGGCGACCTCCCTTCTTGGCCACCACTCCAACCTTTTCATCGGGGCTGGCCTTCCATACCTGATTCCATCTTTTTCCCAAAGGTTGGAGGAACGAAGTCACGCATCTAATGCCAGTGACCCGAAAAATCTGCGCGCATGCCAGAACCGCCAACATTGCAAGTTCGACGCAGAAAACTCCCATTTTGCTTTATATCTTGCACGCCGTGTTGGAGAAGTCTGAGTGGCTGGGCGCACTTGTTGCCACAGTCCGCGCTCTTGGAGAGGCAGTACCTGGTTCTATCTGCGATGGCAGGAGGGATGGCTGTCAAACATTCGAACAGCGTCACATGGACTGAGTCGCTCGAAGGCCCGACATTGTCAAGGTTAATTGGCAATTGGTGAGTGGACTGTGCAAAATTAGCATCCATACTGAAGCAGTGACCAGGGCCAACACCCGATGAATCGTGGATCTGCAGGTCGGCAAAGTGGATTGTCCACAGAGAAGACGTGAAGACTTTTCACCTGCCCAGTTGCTTCAGGAATGAACCTCTCTGCCAAACATCGCATCTCACGGTCCCTAAAGCCGACCATGCCTTAGACTCCTAGACCCCGACCATAGTCTGGAAGTTCCCAGTCCTCTATGGATGGGGAACTGCGGCGTAAGAATTGCATAAGGGCATCAGGTCTGTAGGCACAACAGTTGCAGGGTTGGGTAGTAGCTCTCCGGAATAGCAACCAAGTGGCGGAACAGCGAAGGAAAGGTCTAGCGAGCCTAGGCCTCAACAAATAACCCATTCTTCAACCAAATTCGGCAAAGCCGCCTTAGCCTCCGCAAACTGGCAATTCGTACTTGCGTACTCACGAAAAAGCACGATGAGATGAACTTGTGAACGGCACTAGGCTGTGTCTGCGTTGGTACTGACATTTTCTCAATAAGCGTTTAGCCGCCATAAGCAGCCTTCGGTACCGCTGAGGGATGCCATAACCCAGATCTATGATCATGACTAGGATGACACAAGCCCATCACGTACCTTGTCACATGCGAATGGTAGCAAGGTCATTTCCAACATCACTAGCAGAAGCATGATGACATGAGTGGTAGGGCCCCAGAGGATCGTGCCAGAAGGTGCCAACCGCCAATACCCCACTGCCTAAAAAAACTCCTGAATGTTGTAATTCCCTGCCGGGCCCCCAGGTCCAGCAAGCGATCGAGGCAGCCGCTTCGCTTCAGGGCCTTTTTCCAAGCATCTGGTCGGCTCAGGTTGCAGGCTTTCAAGTTTTGCAAAAGTGGCTTTAAGCTTTCATGCGCTGACTGGGCCGACTTGGAATCCTGAATGAGGTCCCTTCAGTGATCATACGCGGCTAAGGCTTAAACATCCCGGATGCTTCACCTTTCAGCTGTGAAAGGTGGAAAGTCTGGTGCAGTACAGCGGCTTTCTGCAACTTAAGAGCAGGGATATGCATTTACCCGATGATCAGGGGACCTCGCCATTGAGGAAACTCTGAAAATTCCAACATCCAGAGCGAAGCCTGAGCAGCGCCCCCAACTATCTCCACGAGGGCTGTTACAATGCACTGCCCCAATCCTGAACATGCCACCAACCCTTTAAAGTCCGTACATGCTGGTCATGCTGGGTCGCAAAATGAAAACCTACATCCATCTTGCACGGTTTAGCAGACCCATTTTGATGCGTAGAAGGTCCTCAATTGGACACCTGGTCATGAGGGCCCTGGCAGGATAGAGACCGCCATTGCCATCCGGGTTGCAAGCAACGCTGCCAGCCGACCTGTGCCACTGTTCAAGGTTAACGTACGGGCCCGGATGCAAGCCCTCGTCCTAGTTGGCGCGCTGCAGGGTCTCCAATTTCGGTAAACCGCAATTTCAGGCACCGATCAGGGGCTTTGGGGCTGCGCCAGGAGCGGGCCACGCAGGCCAGGCCATCGCCGGGCACCACCCCCGTGCACGTTTGCATGGAGAAATGAGCCCCCGATGATACTGATAATGCATGCCGAGCGGGCCAGCATCATCAGCATCATTGGGGGCTCGTTTCTCCAATCTGAGGTGGCACCCCCTCCAACCTGCAAAAATTGGGGCCCAGAGGGCCTCGGGGGCTAGCTTTCAAAACCCTTGTGAATGGCTACCCGCGCTCTCCGTGCTTCTACCTGCGTAGGCTTCTGAAAGCCGAGGGCCCGAGGGCGTTGCCCGATTCATTCTTCACAGGGGAATTATTTCTAAAGTAATGACCCCTGCGCTCGGGACAACTTTGCCTCGGACACTATAGGCATCCACCGCATATAGGCACCATAGTGTGATCACGACCTGTCCGCTTCTATACCTGCACGCACACAGTCCCTGTACCTGCCATCACTAAGGCTCGGGCTCTAGAAGGATCTTCCCTTCCGGGGAGAGGCAAGGCATGGTTCCTTGCTCGAAGAACCATACCTGGGAGTTTCTGAGGTGTGGGGGTCCTTTCGAGTTGGATGGGGTCTTGCGCATGCACGACAGTGGCTGCCGTTCCTGTGACTCCTCGTTCCTTTGCTATTCCCACTCTTGGTCTACTCTACTCTGAACTCATCTCCGGACATAGTAAGTAGATATGGCCTATCGGGCAACAAAATACATCCCCAAAAAGGAAAACCACTACTGCGTCAATGCTGTTGTTGCTGTGGCTCTTGCTCCTGTTGCTATCAGGCACGGGTCCTCATGACATCCCCCACAATCACTTTGCCTAACAACTACTAGGATCGTGTCTGCAGGTGCTTTTAAGAAGCAACCCCACATACACGTTGTCATGAAAATGATGCTGTTCTGCATGAGCGACGTGTGCAAGAGGCATGCACCGGGTGTGCCGTTGAATCCAGTACGACCTGCGCAACCCATCCTCATTGCTTGTCGCAGAACCCCCATACCTTAAACTTGTTTTCTGAGAGTGAGGTGGGAAGGTTTGCATTCCACGCCTGCCTCTGATAATGGCTGACTTGTCATGTTGAAAGCGGCATCAAACTTGGCGCGGCACCTGGTCCTTCGAGGCCCCGAAGAAGTTGTGCCTGTGCTTTTGGGGCATTGGACACCACGCGAGGTCTTTTCTTGGACCTTGTGCTTGTTTAGCCCAGTATTGCTTCCAACAGAAAATATGCCCATGACCGTATGGAAGATACCTTCTGCCCTCAATCAGCACAGCTGACAAAACTATGCTCCTCCCGCAGCCGTTCTGAGCTGCTGGCTCTTCGAAGAAGCTGACGGTCTGTGAATGCGTCATGGGGCCTGGTGCCGAAGCATGCAAGGGAATCTACATGCTGGGACGTGGAGAAACGGAATGCAGTCACCTGTAGCATTCAAAGCACCCGACAATCTGACAGCAATGAAGTGTCTAGAGCCAGAGTTTAGATGGAGAAAATGTTGCACTACATTTGGCCCCTGTAGTGCTGTAATTCCTAGGCGGGCATATGTGGTGGTGCGTTGCCAACCCAAAGTTGAAGCATCTACGCTCCTGCTGAACTGCTAGTACATCTGCTAGCTGCTCAGGTGCCGGGAACCCAAACAACCACCACTTCAAGCCACAACTGTGAACTGCCGGTTCCCACGTCATATCCAGGCATCCCGGCTGGTCATGATGAGCAAGGGCAACTGCGCTTTTGTCCCGCCTGCCTGCTGCACAAGCATTCTCACGATTGCACCGTTGAGCAGTTTACCGTGCCGCCAGTGCATCTTACACATCATGCTGTCCAATCGCAGCCACGGCATGGGCTTCGGCCTAAACAATGATGATGATCCTTCGCAAGCTTTATGCAGTGCATCCACGGCTGCTGGACCCTGAGATACCTACAGTACCTAGGCGCGCGGCATACTAGGAAATACGGCATGATGCTTCCGGCACAATGGGCTTTAAACAGGTTGAGTCCGGAGTGCTTTCCTACCTAGCATGCGCGTCGGAAAGCTGCCTCCTGAGCCATCTGACGAAGCCTCAGGAGTTTCTCGACCTGACTGTGGGAATACTCGGCGAACTCAAAACCAAAGTATGGTCATACATGCATCAACAAGCTCCGTATTAAAACATGGAAACGACTGCATGGTCGATTTGCCTCTGCCTCAATGCAGAAAATGAGATAGGCGTGCCAAAGGACAGTTGTCCAGTTGGTGCCGACCCACCCCGCCCTCCCTCGCATGGATACAGGGGCCTCCAGTGGTTGCGGGCAACTCTGGTGAGCTGTTTGCGCTTCTTTACTGATGGAGCCAGTTGGCACGAAGGTTTTTGAGAGGCCAAGCCTTCATGATTCATGTAGTCAGAAGCTCAGAGGGTGTGCTGCTTCCGATGTATATCCGAGGCTGTACTGATGCAACCTTCACCACACACTTCAGGAGGTGCCTGTGGAAAGGGCTGCAGGGAGGGGGTTCCTCACACGAGCAGAAGGGCCTTACACCTTATGCAAAAGGCTGCTGGCCCCCCAATCTCCAGAGGCCCAGTCGCTGAATGTGCGGCCTTCGAAGTGGGCATCCAGTCTTCACTAACAACAACGATGACCAGGGCGACGACGGCAACAACTTCCTCGATGAAGGTTCACGAGCTGTTCACACACTCCATTATCTTTGTGAACTGGGTCTGGCCGAGCTACCCCCCGCCAGCCAGACCAAATCTTAGCCACAAGCCTGAGCGAGGTATCCCAAAATTCTGGAAAGCCTGCTTCCATCCCTCTAAGCCCAGGCCCCGGACGAAGATCTGAAACAAGGGCTTGTGGGATGGCAGCCCGATGTCGTAGCAGCCTTTGGGGCCATCCTGAGCAAGCAAAACAACGTGGCCTCAGCCTAAGTCAGGTAGCTGTATTCGTCTGGTAGCCGGATCTTACATTAAAACTGCAACAGCTACATCTGCATGGCCTCACGTCACATCTCTATCAGGCCGCTTTATGCTCAGTATCGCAACATGACTGCAGGGCACAGTAGTGCTTAAGTAACCAGAAGGTGCTTTGGATAGGTATTCTTTCAAACGGTTGATCAACGATGATTATATAAAAGCTCACAATTTTGTAGGCTTATACATCAGATCTCTCTCTACATGGTAGTTTCCCTAAATAGGGGGACCCCAATATGGACCTCAAAATACTATAGTTCTTGTGCTGACGACCCCCAAAAAAGCCACCCCCCAATTTTGGGAAACCCCATATGTCCCCATGTAACCCTATATCCCCCAAAAGGGTACGCATAATTAATGTAGTAAGAGATGCCCAAACGTCCCCAAATGGGCCCCTGGCGAAGCCCAGTCGGGTCCCTTGGCCGCCGGCCAGCACACAAGCAGCCACCTGGCACAGACTGGCCAGCACTAGGCGTTTGGGGTTTTTAGGCTTCAGAGTTTAATGTTAAGAGTCTAGGGTTTAGGTTTAGGTTTGGGAATACAGTGCATGTTGCCATGACGTTTTGCAAGTTTTGGGCCCAAAGTGTTCCGAAGAGAGCAAATCACCTTGGTCTTGACTTGAGGTTTTAATGCCGTAAAATCGGGAAATCTTGACTGGATGGGAAGTATGGAACTAACACCTAAGGGTGGACTGATGTTGAATGGCAATTACTTTTGGCCATGACACACATGCGGGTCTTCAACAATTGGGGATCCCTACCCCCAATATACTTGGAACTGCCCACCTGAAATCCTTGACCTGAAGCTGTCCCCCCGCCTCGCCGCGACCTGATTGCAATCCACAAGTCAATCTGCACTGGATCATGAAGTGGTTCATGGCATCGTGTACATTGTAGCCCCTTCTTGTCGGCAGGTACCATGTTTTCCTGGGAACGCATGGGACCCGTAAAGCAGAAATCCTCTATGGGCTGCAGGGGAGGCAACTTACTTGCTACAGGTCGATTAATTCAACGCCGAGGGGCCGATGGCTTCCAGTCCGCGACCTTCCCAGGAAGCGACGTCCTCTCCGTGGAGAGGGTTCCCCTTTGTTGATGTGCGCAGTTCTCAAAGCCAGAAAGCTAGGGCTGTTACACCGGACTTGTGAAATGGCTCCATGCCTCATATCCGCTTAAATAGGCTGGGGAAGTCTTTCTCGGCCATGGGCTCTCCTTTCAACAGCCAAGCTCACGGCAGTTGGTGTAATTATGCAACATCCCTGCAGTGCCATAACACGTGGTACATACCACAGACAGGATTCATCGAGCAGAAGTTGCGAACCTAGACATAGGCACTCTCCCCTGAACCCTCACGCACAATGAAACCTATGACGCCAATATATTCCATGTTGTCGTCCTCGGACGAGACGTCAGCTAAACCTGGGCTTGCAAGGCTTGGATTATTGTCATCCCGGGGAAAATCCTGAAAAGCCAGAAGATAGCATAATTTGCGAGTTGTGTTTGTCGTCCAAGCAGATAGCCATGGTAGCAGTAAGTTGGAAACAGGAATAGAGATAGATGAGCTGCAAGCTTATTGCATGATTTCAAGGGTCTTAACTCAAAAGCTTGTAGTTCCAGCTTGATACAATGAGTATACGTGACATAAGCATCGCGGACAGCTTGTAGGAATCCCTTGCTACCATCAAGCCTCGCTTCCCTTGATACGAACGGCTTCCTGACATGCTGCAAAACCCTATCCTGGGTGCTCATGCGGGCTGTTCACCGAGGAAACGAGGAGTATGAGCATCCAAGTCCGAGGGGCAGGTAAACTCGTCAGGAGGCTGCAGATCTACAGCCTGCCAGAAAAGTAGGAGAACGGCTGCTTTGGTGTACTGCGACTCGCGGTCTGGGTTGGCATTTTTGGGTGGGGCCGAGAAGTTTGGCTACACTTGTGACCCAGTCAGCTTCAGCATCCTTGCTACGGCTGTACTTGCTCAAGCCGCTACATGCGATCCATGCTGGATAATTTGCGCGGGCCAACTTTGGATTGCCCATCCGAATACATTTCATGGTCTTGTTGTCAGCTTCTGGCTCTGCACATGGTCCCGTGTCCCATGGCCTTTGCAACAGGTAAAGGCAAAGGCTTGCTCGTCTGCTTGATAAACGTCTGTGCTTGGAAGGCCAAATGTTGCACTGTCTTAAAGAGAAGTGGGCCTGGCAGGACCCGGCCGTCAGCTTAGGTAAGAGCATCCGAACATGCGTGATCTGCTCTCCCAGGCGTACTAAGAGGACATGCCTGTGACCGCGACCAATCCCAGTCTCACAGCTTCACTAGCGATCATCTTCATCGTCGCAAGTAATCAGAACCATAAGGACGCGCATCCTGGGCAGAAAAGCTTTCCTAATGCTATCATTCCCCCATCATGAGGGCTGCCCCTGTACCTCCGCAACAGCTGCTGCTTCAGCTTGCGCACTCCTCGATGGCAACCAAACGTAGGCTCAAGGGATGCATGGAAGATCATTATGACACCCAATCCCTCGCTGAAGGACGCATAAGCAGAACAAGTCGTGCTGCAATCGCTGGTAGCAAGTTGACGCTTTGGGCTTCCTTACCCGGCTATTCGCATGCAAATCTATTTGCTGCTTGTCCCTGATCACAGGTACTCCACAACTTCAAGCTTCCCGACGCCTAACACGAACCCTTTGCCTTTGCTGCTAAGCTGCTTGAGACTCTTGGCCACGTAGTCCAAATCGATTGCCTCCAGCCTTACTGTCTCAAATCTTCTGCAGACAGCAAATTCTACGTGGACATATGGTGTACCTGAAGACAAACACTGAACAGGGCAGCTGGACATCATGCTGATCACAGCTGCTACAGGGGAGACATTCGTTCGTGGACCTCCATTTTTTGGATGCAAGGGCAACCCCTTGTGTCCCACGCTTTATCCGTCAATGCAATCTGCAGAGCATCGCCAAAGATCTTCCTTCCTTCAGTCCCCTACAATAAAATATCCGTCACTTCAGGCCAGGGCCCCCAGGACAGCAACATCAATAATCTCTTCTCTTGCCGCAAGCGGTTCCACTCAAGTACACGAAAATCTAAATTCGACTTGCAAGACAAAACGTTTCGAGCGTCGCTGGGAGAATTCTCTGGGGGCCACGCTGTGCAACAAGTGCCTGGGCTTCGTCAGCAGTCGTCACCCCCGCGTCAACGAAGCGAAATACCTCCCAAGTTCAACTGAACCCCTTTGGGCTTTTCTTGGCTGGATGGCCACGGCTAGCTGCTTTTGCAAAGCAGTTTTGATGCGATGCATGCGATCCTCTTTGTGCCAATATTTGGGTGTACCCCTGGATTTCATTCCCATCTGAGGTCGCCTGGCTCTGCCCCGCCGCCTCATAGCGAGCCTGAATATGGGCTTGTGCAGGAATATGGGCGCTTG